TTATTGCTCGAATGGTTATATATTTCATCTTTCCATACGCTATCTGTTAACACAGAGACTTGAAATTATTACTGGCAATGAAAAATATTTAGAGGTCACCTTGGCAGAATGAAGGAGCGGTTTGAAGTAGTTGTCCTGTTGGACAAGTGTATTTGAATAAAACTAAAGAGTATGAGCGAAGACCCAGATTTCAAACTACATTCTCGAGCATCGGTATCAAAGCTGCCACACCTACTCCAGAAGAGAGGCTCTATACATAAATAAAAACAGGATCTTGAATTAACAAAAGGAGAAAATACAAAACGCCTATATATATCATATTTGGCAAGTTAGCACATGAAAAATAATCTCGTTTTATCACAGATCTTCTTGTCAAACATAATGTACATCAGAGCTTTTGAGATCAAGATAAATTATCAATTTTCTGAGCATTTCTGCTATTTCTGTTCCGATTTTCCTGAAAATTTCATTTTTCCACTGATGTTACAAAAGAACTTCCACGGCACATGGCCAAATTTAGTTTTACACATCACATGTACCTCATATAATATAAAATACAATAAATCTCTATTTCTCAAATATGTATCAAATTCGTCATCATTTTTACAATATTTATTGTTTTTTACTATTTCGTAACTAACATATAACAAAAAACTCATACAGCATCCTGTTTTAATCAATATGTCCATTCATTTTTTTCTGTATCTTACATGATTACTGGCAGGTAATTGTGCGAGTGGGTTTGTAGAGAAACCCATAGTTCATATTATTGACAATTCATGATAGGCTGACACTTGCGCACGCGCGCACAAACGTTTTATCAAATAATCTGTACTGCTACCGTATCGTATATTTAGGTCAGATTTCATCCCAGTTTTTTTCTCACACAGTCTACCTGAGCTATGATAACGACCTAACCTTACGTAAATTTAGCGTGATCGCAACATAGGGCGCCTTTGTTTTTCTTATGAAAAGCGCCGTGTCAATGTTCTGTATAGTATTGCACAAACACACTGAGTAGGGCAGGTGCCCAGGCCAGATATCTGAAGTCTTAACTTAACACACGACATGTTTGAACAGCATAAGATTGTAACTTAAACGTGTTGGTATAATAACCATAATTAATCTTGTAGGTTTACATAAGGAACACTGTATGTTTTCTTATATAAAACGCCAAATAAAGTGACAAAGTTAACCTACATTATGATAAGATGACGTAAATATACTCTATTTTTTCAAGAGTTAAGATGACTGGTTTTGGTCGACTATGTACTAAAGAATTATAGAACACTTTTTCTTTCCCCGGTGACAGACGACACGATAACTATTTCACCTCGATTTTTATAGAGGATGTTTGACCCAACCGTTATCTATAAGTGTACAAACGGTTTTGCAATAATTTATTTAATATCGTATCTAAGGTTCGCAGAAATAAAAACGAACCTCTGTTTAAATTTCCACATTTAATATCTAAGTGATTGTTACAAATTTGAAAATGATAACATACATACTCTCAGATCGAACTGATCACGTTTGTATCTGTTTGATATAATAACATGGACCTACAGAGACTTACGATTATTCTCGGTAGATGTCTCAGATTCTCATAACTAGATAATATTAATCAATTTATATCATCTAAGTTTCCATTGTTATTAAAACTCCAACGGCAACAGTTTTAATAAACCAATCACCGCCGTCCCTTTGCCAATAAAGAACCTTTCCATTGGGATTAAAAGACTACTGTTATATAAAACTAGTGTTTGCAATCGAAAAGCTGTCTTGGATTAGTTTTTATAAACACACATCACGTATGTTTTCAGTGATCTTATGGAAAAGATAGCAAAGGTCGTCGACTGCTTATTTAATGGGACTGTTATTCCGGTCATGGTGGTGCCAGTTCTGGTATTTATATGATTGACCATCGTTTATTTCTGATTTGTCTTGATTCCTGCATCAAGTGATAATCATTATTTGAAAATTTTAATTTATCCGTAAATAATTTTTTAAATGATATCTTTAGTCTCCTTTTTATTTTTTGTGTCTACGATCACATTGCATCCACGTTTTGACTGAGCATTATATATCATATATATCGTACTACTTTTTCACATCATCTAAAAAATAACAAATTTACTGAGCAATGATATTACTGAGTATTCGAAAGATTTAGTGAATTAAGACATATCTCCTTACCAGACACATGAATACTTTGAAAAATTTCCATTTATCCCTCCCCAATGTTACAGTTCAAAACCGCCAATATCATCTCAAAAGCTGACAATGCTAGAACTAGTTAGCTTTAGAAACCATAGTTTATTTAGGTATTAGTGTCACATATCAAGGTAGACATACCACCATGATCGTTTAACGGAGATCATATAAAACAGTATTAACAATCCCGTTTGATATCATGAGAAGAAAGATTTAAAACCACAAAACAAACATAGTAATTTTAAAGCACCATGACTTAACTGAAACCGATTCTTCATCCTTCTCATAGTGTAAACTATCACCATTCGTCTCTTAAGTTGAACATAATATGACATGTTTGGACTAAGTAAATGTTCTATAAAGAATTATTGACTTAAGAACTATTTTTGAAAAATAGGGATATTTGGTTTCGAAAGATGAATGCATTCTCTTCATATTCGGATGTATGGCGAGTCATGCTTGTAAATGGAATTCTTTCCTTTCTGTGTGCTTACCCTGTGGAACCAGGGTTAATGATCACCTATATATATGTAGTGTATATAAAAGTATGATATATATGTCTTGTCTTATTTTAAATAAGAAATCTGATCAAGGTATGATTAACTAAAAACTCATCACGCTTGTCTTGAGACCAATTGTAAAAAGGATTAGGAACTTAACAAACCAAATTAACTTTCATTAATCTGTATTCGAACTTTCCATCTAATTCATTCTAAGAGTTATTTTCTCTTCCTGTCCCTATGCAACAGTTTTCAGTACAAAACAAATAATTTAAGTAATATTTTCAATAATTTACAACAATATTTCAACTTTATTTTATGTCAGATATTCCTTAAGCTTAACAGGCATTATGTATATTCTTGAAACTTGTTAGCTTAATGAATATGGCAATAGTGTCGTGTATTGATACTCAAAATTAGATATTTCTTTTTATATATAACTTTAGTTATTTATAACTTAAACGAGGTTAACTTAATTTGTAATTACATTAAACAGGAATCAATAGATTATAAAAGTATTTTTACTTTTGTTCGTGTATAACCGGTCGTTTTACAAAACCTGACATGCTGTGGTCAAACCAGTTATGTTAATGTACATACGAACACCTTGACACCCTGCTTAAATCACATACATAATTGTCAAGGATTATGTTACAACGGAAAAAGAGAGATGGCAATATTTATAGTAAAACACAGTAATTCCAAACACACCTTACCTCGATATAGGTAGAAAACCTAAAACCTTATCAGTTACGAATCCTTATTTTAATAAACGAGCAAAGGTTATCGACCTCATTTTAATCTGATATGGGTAACGATCTACCTGAATTTTCATATAGAGTTCCTAAGAAGAGTAGAATGATATGACTATCATATAAGTTTCTATTGAATCAACCTTTTGAATATTACGCAATTATTGCCAATGAACATAAAGGATATTTTATATCGGATAACATAATAACTTATCTAAACATAGTTCTAAAACTCTACATTTTTGCGACCTTTTGAGTGTATAAATGTTCAATATCTGGATTGTTATTGAGGATTATACCAAACAAAGTAAACTATTCCATTTATCAACAAATCTGAAAATCACTGGCATGATTAAGCTTATTGACTTATCTGTTAATTAACTTTTCAATAGTTTATTCCGAAAAAATATGAAATCATAAACAAATTCAAGATTTTATGCATTTTTAACATAGTTGACTCGGGAACCATATTCTTTTAATTTTGATTTCCTGTCTACATTTCCAATGTAGTTCGCTTCGCTAATTGCGAACAAAAGATCAAAAGGAATTAAATAGTCCTTTTAAATTTTAAGATTGATCATGAGATAACTTTTGATAAAATCGCCGAGAGTTGAACAAATATTGGTATATATATAGCCAGGTGGTCGAGTATCTACATTTTGACAGGTAAATAGTATGATAAACACTTATATGTTAGAGTATTTCTAACAGCGATATTCAGGATCAAATGTTTTCAATAAAATGTTAAATGCACAAAACGTCAACATATCAGCCACCCTATTAAATTGGTTACAAAATAAAACTGTTTATGCACAGATTAAAGAATCTTCTTTACAGCCACACTATTCAGTAAACGTTGATACATTTATGCATTCTAGACAACTTTTGACGACCGCTGAATATTAATGGTGTTTTAAGTTTTGCAGGTCAAAATTGTGCCATCCAATAGATTCACAACAAGAATTTTGGATATTCTTATCAATGTTTCTTTGCGTAAATCAGAGTAGTAGGTCAGATTCAGTTTCCTAGTACAAATTACAAATTATCGAATAATTCCATAACGTGTTAGTCATATTTCAAGCGGTAAGTATCCCTTACCAACAGCGTTGTAATACGATATTCTTATTACCTACAAACGATATGGTGTAGGTGTCTTGTTGAGATACGTAACGACATCGAGGCTGTTTTGTCTTTGTTTGTAAAGAAGATACGTTTGAAGCAGTCAGGACTTCCGTACAATTAGAATATATCTACAAAGATTTCCTGAAAGTGTATGTATCAAAAGCATAACCTGATTAAACCGAAACTAACCATGAAAGACAAGATATATGAACAATACCATAACGAAAATAATATGCTAATATCATATGCATGCAGTAACACAACAAAAGAGAATTTCATATCCAATAAGTATAATGTTCTCAATTGCTGGAGACGTTAGTTGTACAACGACTACAATATAAAGTATATACATGAAGATACAGTTAATAGTAATCGATACAAAATATCAATACATTGGAGTTACTGTACTTACGTTGTGGGGGAGGCGGATCTTGAACTGAAAAATGAAATATGAAAAGATCTTTAATAAATATATAAAAATAATTAGGAAGTATTTATAAGCTATGCTTCTAAATAACACGGCCAATTCTCCTTATTAAGATTCGTGTTTTTTTTTTTTTTTTTTTGCAGCTTGAAACAGAATATGACCATTAACCAAACGTTTGCATTGTTACTTTGTAAATATACCCATAATATATTTTAGCATATTGCACATATGTAATATAGCTTATTGTGACGTCACCTTAGATAATAATACAACGTCACACATTTACAGATAACATTTTGACGTAATAATGTAGACTTAAGATACAGAGCGGACATTACGCAAAGTTTGACGTAGAAATATTCGTTTCTACTACATTTCTTGGATAAATCGATTGCGTGATTAAACTTCTAAAATCGTTTCCATTTGACATGTCATACTTGCATAGAAAAATAAATGATTTGGATATAAGTAACCTACAGATATAAGATAATTATGTACATCGTTAATTTACGAAATACGAAAGTGAATAGATTTGAAAAAAAGTTATTTGGAACACGAAACAAAAATGTATGCGAGGGAAAAGAAAGTAAGATGAAATAAAAATATAATATAATATAAATGGGGACAAAGAGAACTGACAAGGTGATCGCACAATAATTCCCGCATAAAACGTCTTTAATCATGAAACCAAACACCGTGAAAATATCGAACCCATCTCCATAACCAAGTTATTAACTATTTTCCTTGCACGTCAGATTGAATGCGACCCTAGATGATCTGGAAATTGATAAAACTTTCCTTACACGTCAGATTGAATGCGATCCTAGGTAAACTGGAAGCTGATAAAACTGTACATGAAATATTCACTTCTCAACATATTACGAAAGGTATGTGCCCAACGTGCAACATATTGTCATATTTTCTTGATTTTTATATGATACTTAGATGTAAGTTTGTATGTTGAATAGTGCAGGAATTCAGAAGGCTAAAGACTAATTTTTATAGGGAACGTAGAATATTATACCCACATTTTTAAAATAAGAATGTCATATTAACAGCACTTTTCTGATGCTCAGTAAGAACGTTATATTTTGGATTGATTCGACATTTATACATCTATAAAGTACATTGATTAAAGCTACTCAACGGGTGTATTAAGCTTAATTAAGGAAGATGTATATGCTATATAATTACAAGCAAAATATTAATATATGTCTGCTCAATATATATTAAATATATATTAAGCAAAGACTGATTTCTGTATCTGTATACTAAATATAATGGGAAAAAAATCAAAGTAAAATTAGGGACTCGAGGAGATACACCTCAATCCCTTGTTTGCTTTACTTCTAAAGGAATAATTCTTAAGACTTTCCAAATCCAAGCAGTGTCAGAACTTGACGATAATATTGCGTTATGTGAATATGAGTTAATTTCGAAACTTCAGGAGATACAATATATCTTCTGGAGGTATATGTTTTTATTCAAAAAGAGTCGGGTGTAACCTTTGACCCTTTGTTCTTAATCAACGAACATCAAATTTTATATTTAGATTAGACACTTCATGTGACATAACGGGGTAAATAAGAATTTTGTTTGTCGCTTGAGGGATTCAGGGATATCTTGAACACAATTATGTATATCAAAAGTGGACATTTGTGACATTTGACTCTTTTGACCTTGACCTATTATCATAAAGATGTAATCAGGTGTAGAACATAATATATCAAGATGTGAAGTAACTTTTTAGAGGAACAACATACAATATCTATCACATAATATCTTTATTCTCAAATTGTTCAAATATGACCTATAATCCTTTGACCTTACTGTTAACCACATCATAGTACTTAAATCTAAAACTTAATGTTGTGATGACAGATGGCCTAAACATATTGAAGGATTCATAAGGTTTCGGTTAAAGAGGCTTTTGACACGGACGAATGCGCGGGCGCACAGATATCCATAACATTATCTTCACTTCATCTTACATCAGTTAGGGATATTAACAGTTGAAATCAAGGTTAAGAATTCTTAATGGGTCAAGGATTAGTACTAGTGACCGCTTTTAGGACATATTTCCTAGGGCACTACATTTTAACTAGATAAAAATTATTTGAAACGAATCGAAATACGATGTATCCAACTGTTCGGTGGTCTCAATGCAGTAATACTTAAATTCATTTAAAGCCTAAGTGAAAAACAAATTTCAGGTCTTTTCAAAGATAATTTGGAATCGTGGCTCTCTAAGGGAATGTTTATACGAGAAAGAGATAAATATCCACTTCAGAAAAATTGTGGTCGATCTACTGTATACGTTTGTTCTTAATCAAGACTGGGTACACTTTGATACCTCTATCTCGGACAATGGTCAGTACGTCTGAATACAGAACCAAGTGAGGGGGAAAATTTCGATGGTCATTGAAAATGTTTGAACAGTGTTTGCAAGCAGGGCTTGTTTTCATAATAATGTATTTACTTGACTAATTTTAAGAGCTCTCTAGTTTTATTTACTTATCAATTATAACGGTAAACAAATATGAAATATTGTCTGTTGACTTCACGGTGCTTGTATATCCTTATAGGTCTCCTTCAACTAATTTTGTTGACAGTACAACTGTTTACGGAATTGGAGTTAAATAACATTAGTGGTGAGTATACAGTATATTTAGACAAAGTGTTGTCACATGGAATTACATTTAATACGCTAGGTTTTGGTATGGATGCGTTGTATAAAGCATGATAAGCTTCTGGAACCATTATTTTTATTAAATATGTCATAATCAGCTGGAGTATAAAACTAATTTAGTTCACAATATAAAAGTAATAATTTAAACTTTATTTCATGCATATGTATAAGTGCTGGAAATTTTTGTCATTGTTTAGATATCAAAATTACCTTACAAATAAAGTTAACATATCTTGGTTCAATTGATGTACAGACTTCTGCTTATCAGCTCAATCACACGTGTCAAGCTTTATTTCAATAAATTAAGTATAACTGTAAAATTTAAACCAAGGTGAACGACAGGCCAATTTTGAGTTCGACATTACTTTAGAATTTTGGAGGACAATGGTAAAACGTACTTCAGTGTTTTGATGACATGTATCCTTAGACTAAATCCTCCCCACAGCTGTCTGTAGCCAGCGGGATATTTCAGATTAAAACAAGTAAAGTACATGCTTGTCAACGTTGTACTTTTAGTCTAAGCGAGGTAGTTCAAAACCTTTATTGTTAAATATTCCAAATTTTTTGAGAAATTGAAATGGTAAATTAGATCCAATTAACATTAAAATGATTGATGATATGCAATCTTAAAGATCCTAGTTAACATTAACTTTAGTTCAGAGAAGCATTCCCCGCATAAAACAACGGTGTTGATTATCATAGACATTTTAGGTTTCTAATGAACGGTTTTAAAAAATCATTAAAATGATACTTTCTCCATGAAAAGTTGTTAAATTTGAAATCTTATTGTAAACTCTAGTGTTAGAAGTGTGAAATACAAAAATCCCATAATACAATTAAGACGATGAGTATACAAAAACATAAATGAAATTGTGATTTTAAAGACAAAGCTAGAATTTTAATGCTGACCTACAATAACACATATGTCCAAAACGCAGTTTACAATAGGGGACTGCATGTAAGAAATTTCCATGAAAATTCTCGGATTTTAAACATGTATTGAGAAAAAGAAATCACACAATCAACGGTGTGCCATTGTGGCATTAGACCACCGTATTAGGTCATTGCTCTGTATCATTAAATTGCTTGTAAAATACAGTAAAATCAGAAATAAATGTGTAGAGAATGCAACAGAGAAATTGTTGAATACGAATACGTCATGACTGGGAAATTGGAACGTTTTGAAAGTAAGTTTGTTTCCAGATTAATATTAAACATTTTATTCTAAATTAATCCCGATTATGAACTATGTCAAAGCATAAAAAAAGAAATAAAAATCAAAGTAAGCATTGACTATTGCATCACAAAAGGTTATTCCGGAGATTTTGCACTCCACAGATTTTTTCCCTATCCGCTTAATTTTAATGAAATCATTGAAATAACACGGAGATTTGTTGAATGTGCCGAATAGAACTATAAAAGGTGTATATAGATAATTGCATTCTTTCGTTTCAGAACATTCTGTTGGGCTATTTTGGGCGCCATGACAGAGATGAAGGAATGTTACTAGTACAGTGAAAAATGTCAGGTGTGTTTTGGCAGGTGCTTCTTAGAGGTTAGGCTATCCTTAGTGACAATTTCTATTATGATAGAAAAGGTGGAGTAGGTCAATGAGTGGTGAACCATCACTTTGATACAGAGGTTGAGTGTATGACTTAGCTAGTCTCAATGAAATAGTTTGGATACCTTTAACACACCTGTGCTGAGAAAATCAAATAAGGTCAGACAGGGTAAACCAGATTTAAGAAACATCCAATCTTAGTGAACGTTGTTTAGGTTAAAATCTAGATGTTGATCTTAAATTACACCTAAACTCCTATTTTCCTTAAAATAAAAAAAACAAATGATGATAATGGTGAAAACAAAAGAATAACAGATATTAAAAATAAAAAGATTCATATGTAAAATTAGGAATGACTACAATTTTGAATTATATCATAACAAATCAATACGAGTTAAAGTTAACGAAAATAACTACCTTACTGGCAGCAGTGTGTTTACGAAAACATAGTTAATGTCAACAGAACAAAAAGTGTTCCGCACTTGCCAATGCATCTAGTTTGAAACATCATCATTACGCAATATTGTTTACCTCGGTTTCGCTACCGTTGATCATGTGATCGAGGAGGAAAAGCGTGTAATCAGTATTATATTATAAGGTGCAACACTATTTTTTTAATATTTTCAATTAAATTTTGATAGTCAATATCTAAACAGGTTTGTTTTATATTTCAAAGAATTAATCCCGATTCAAAACGATAAGCAACCATTTTAAGGACACTACTACATTGCAAAAAGCCCTGTCGCCTAATAGTATGTACCTTTTGAAGCAAGCATAACCTAAGCCCTAAGCCGCATTGGCATTTAAGTCGTATACAAAATGTATATTATTTTTTCTAGATTACTCAATACGAGCTAAATCACCGGATATAAATGCGACGCGAAATAAGAATAAAAACTGTGTAATAATTGTAATTCAAATTTTAAAACAAAGACGCCAGAAAATAGGCAACTCCCTTCAATCTGATTGAAATTACTATTTCACAGTCATATCCGAATGAAGAAATTGATATTTGGTCCAATTTTGAAATGTAGCACATCATTATGGCCACTATCAACAGTCACACAACGTCCGTGTACAAGGATATACATTATTGATATAAAAAGGCAGAACAGCGTTTCAATCAGATTGAAAATTACAGGGGAAAAATTTGGTTAAATACGAAAGCTATATCAACGAAGTGAACGCTTACGTTCATCCCGATTGGGCGCTGGAAAAACAGTACAAAACACATTTCTGGGGTGTTTCATAGGTTTACAAAGAGCAAAAAACAAATGAAAGAAAATGTGAATAATTATAACCAAAACGCCCCCGCTGACGTTTTTAGAATCTTTTCTACATCATGAAACAATAGTAAATTATATATCAAATGTTACATCTACTGACTAAAATTGATTTAAGAATATTTGTAAATAATTATGAAATGAGAGTAATACTTGTGTGTATAATGACATATGATATAATAACTTGGGCGAAGTTACAAAAGGTAAAATATTTAGAGGAATTATAATGTATACCGGGATATTTTCGGTTAAGGTTATTTTCATCCTTGTACCACTACACAAAAATGCGCTTCATGTTCGTTTCGCCTTCTGAGGATTTCATAAAAGGTTTATATACGTTTCGCATCTACCTTATATTCGCTCTCTTTATTCATGGACGAAAAGGAACAATAATTTCCCGGTATACAGTACATCAAAAGGCTAGAAATCATAAGGAAATATTCCGGTGACAGGGAATACTACAGAAAATACACTACAAACAAAAATCATTTTCACGAACGCTGAATGTCAGAAAAATAAATATAATAAAGACAATTTCCTGACCTGGTATATATGCATATTATGGTTTTTTCGAGTAAGCTACAGATATCTCCCTTATTTGTGTTGACAAAATACGTAAATGTAGATGGTTTAACCCTTAAAGTGTAAAATTGTATGGTAAGATTGACCTCATTTCAAATGTTTGTTTCTTGAAGAGTATACGTATAATAATCATTGTTATGATACATGTATATATGAAAGTATATATGAGGTATAAATAGATATAAAGGATATGAACTTACCTTCACAAGCTCTGTATGCAACCATTTCAGTCAGAGCTCGTGTATTGAGTTTGTTGAAATTATCCACCTGAAGGTAATACTTTTCCTCTGGTTTACTAGCGATACCCATGAGTTCACTTGGGTCAATATGGGGTCCTACCCCTATCGAGAATACATGACAACCCATAACTTTTAACTCCTCGGCCTCCCCGAGAGTAAGAGACTTTCCCATCTCTTTCGTGTATGGATCAACCCTCCCAGGGTTGGTACCACCGTCCGTTACTACAATGACAACATTGGGAACATTTGGGCGGTCCCCGACCCCCGGAGTAAACAAGCCTCTCCTTGTTTGGTTTAAAGCTCTATAGGTCACTGTTGCTGGACCTGCAGCATATTTAATACTTGACACAGCACTTAAGATATCGTTTTCATTTGAAAACTGATTAAAGTTAAATTCAGTGTTTACCACATTACTAAATGACACTATAGCAACGCGTGTTTTGTCTGGGCCAAGTTCAAATTCCTGAAGTACTTCCCTCACAAAGCGAAGTTCTTTGTTGAATTCAGGTTCCCCAATACTTCGCGAAGAGTCTATTACAAATGCTAAGTCAGCTATCTTTCCACAAACTAAAAAAAAAAACAAGAAAAGTACATCACCTACAATATTTTGGTTCACGAACATACGCGTGGACGATCAAAACCTTGACACAAAGTTATGAAACGAGTCAGAGAGGTAACAGATTTAGAAGAATAGGTAAACAGTAATCACGTTAATATGTCAAACCAAACACCCATCCCAAACCATATCCTTAATTTGGGGAAAAACGGAGTCCTGATAATCACTGTATTATCCATCTTGATGGATCAAAAATCTTCCGCTATTTTTGTTATTACCTGTTGAGGTGAAACTAATTTCAACACACTTATCTTATCTAATCCACTTCGAATAATTGAATTTTGTCAGTAACCAGGATCTAATGGAAGCCTTTCAACCTATGTTTTGGGCAGAATGCAGAATTTTCGGGCATACGTATAAAATACGATTAGCCATTTATTTTTGGAGATACAAATTCAAACATGTTTTTAGATAATCAAAGTAAAAGTCGTCGGTTTTATTCGATTGTATATATATATATATATATATATATAGTTCATGTGGTTTAGTGAAGCTGGGTTCAATCAGGTCGTCAAGCATCATCAATTAGGTTAAACCGGATTATTCATTGGTGTGTTTTTAAATTGATGATAACTTTTGATATATATATATATATATCAACATCTATATATGGGAGTTCATTTAAAAGATGTCATCCATGAAAAAATACACAACTGGATGTCAACTGATTTCAGTATTGCTAATGAGTTTCCAGAAATGTTCGATAAGCTCAAAATTACCCAAGTGTCAACTCCATTTGAACGAACATCTGAATCTAAAGCATCTATATTAACTAGGTTACATTATAGGTATAAGTTAAGCAGACATTTCATTTGGGAATTAAAGCATATAGTTACTGCATATGATATAAGGTAAAGCTTTGGTTCACAGGTTTCCGCCGGGATCTAAATTACGTAAAAGACAGGTGTTAGAGGTGAAAAGGTAGGGATGGATGTTTTAATGACATATTTGACATATTCAATAAATGTTTTCTTTAAGAAATAGAAATAGATTTACTCGAATTTTATATAAAACATAAACTGATATTTGATATCAATACATAAATGTTAAATTAGATGCATGAAAATATATATAATTCAATTCTGGAAACAAAAACAAACAAAATCATTAAGTTAATAAGATATGTACGAAGTAACGAAATTTGATATTGTCTCAAAATTTGACTTTCAAAGAACAAAAATGAAGCCTGCAATAAAAATGAAAGCATAATTGTACATACCACGATTTCTCCTTGCAAAAGAGTCTTCTTGGCGTTTGACTCGAGGTAGTGCTGCAAGTAGCATAACAAATCATTTCATATTTGTTTGGGCCAAAAAGATTACCCATTGTATAACAAAATAGCTGAACCATAGCAACTGCAAAATTGAGAAGCTTTTTTAGGATTTCTTTTGTGTGATATTTTTAAAGAATGTTTCTGAAATATGTGTATTACTCCCATTTGATATCGATGTCCAATTTGATAGATCTGATGGATTATTTTCTGTCATTATGAGTTTGAAATATATATATATATATATATATATACATATATAAAGTACGTATTGTTTTGTATTATATATCTACAAGCAGAGTATAACCTTAAAGCAATTTCAAAAAATAAAAATAGTATAACTTCGTATATCATAATTCATCCTTCCCGTGAATACAAAAGTAAATGTTTTTGGTGCAGCGATTGCGCTGACGGCAGATCGTTTAACTTTTCAATCGCCAGGGAAGACCTGATGTAATTTGACTACCCCTGCACGGAACGGTTTGTGTTGCTGAAATTGACAGCCTGGACAATAATTATTACGCCAATTTGCCTTGATGGCATGCAATGGGCTTCCAGTATGCTGTTCATTGAAGTAGCCCGTGGCTACAACAAAGATATTACATCCCTAAAAGGCCCTGGCTGTTGATATGCGATAATCAAAGTAAGCAAATAAATATATCTTCTATTTTATGATGGCACCTGCATGCTTCTCACAGTGTATTCGAACTTTATCATCATTCTCATTGTAACGTGAAAAAAAATCGATAGGATATTCTAATATAACTTTCAATATTGATGGAAAAATTTCATTGCAAAAAGTGGTCCCAAGCAGTTTTGTATTAATGTGATTCGAATTAACAAATGTGCCATGCCGTGATGAAAAGTTATGGAGTAAAATTTCGCGAAAATAAACTGCGATTCAAAAATCAAATCATCCAAGAATGTAAAGATCCTCTTTCAGGAATAATTTTAAAATCACTTTACGTGCGGCATGTCGAACCTACCTAATGTTCATAGTGATAGCCAAATTTGTTATTTAGTATTGATGGAAAATAGTTTTGAATTGAAGTATCGGCTTTCAAAATACAAAACAAAAATATATGAATATGTTCTTTGCTTATTGCATAAACGAGCAATTATGGTCATCGACAGGATGAGCGCCTATGGTATGGCTCCGAAGTTTGACTAATTCGTTGAACATCCTTTGCAGTCATAGCACATCCTATGATTACATCTTTACTGCGGTAAAGCACTCTCAGCTCAAACAAGTTACCAAAATGAATATATATATCATATGTTATGGTAGATTTCATAACATAAATGCGATGCTTCTAGTATATTTATTGATATGATAAATGCAATAGCTATTTTGATAATGAATATAAAATGAGTTAAAAAGCTTACTAGATTTTAAAAAACTCATAGAAATTGAAAATATACTATCAATGGTATTATTCGGAATAAAGTGATGTATATTTTGCGTACAAATGTATAGATTTAAAGCTAAAAATACCTGTTGAGAATGTTTCGTATCTATATTAGATCTACAAAACGTCAACAGGTATTTTTTTATCGTAATGATATAGATTAATTTGTCAAACAAATTACTTTAATAATGCTGATGAAAATGTTTGTGGGTTCTCAGAACTGCAATGAATTATATGGTTTATGCCTTGTTCAAATAACTGATATCCAATATCAACCAACGAGTGCTATATTTTTTTAACTGGACAGATTTTTCATTCTCCATTAGAAATTTAACTGAAAATGCTTAGGAATGTTACTGTTCATAAATTGTGATCTTTAGTCGAATATACGATGTCGCATCGACGACACAATCTCTGTCAATCTCTGACACTCTGTCAAAATATTACATGAATCATTCAACAATTGTTGCTACTGGAAAGGAAAGAAGAAAAACCAGAATGTTTTTAAATGTTTCAAGTCATCTGGTACATGTATATAGTAGTATAAAGAAGTATGATTCATAACGATTTTTTCAGCTTGACTGTACCTTTGTTACGAAAAAATGATCGAAAGAGGTCGATAAATTGTGTGGGATACTGTTTATTTGCCGTTTCGTTTGTAACGTATTCTTTAATCTATTATCACACACAGATAAACTTTCGGTAATCACACGTTTTTGTCAACAATAAAAGATGACTACGCATGCGTATGCAACTGCACTTATAAATTGTGTCTGGATTGCTGATATAGATCTAACCAGCGTCAACAGACGATTCAATTAGTATAGCATGACATAACACTCAGACTGACATCAAAATGAGAACGTTTCATTTCATAAATGTTAAAAGTATATTGCAAAGTTTCTGAGTCGTTAAGCTGTGACATATGCATCTTCAATGACTGACTGCTAGAGATAAAAACAGCGGACGAATGTCACACAAAAAAAATATTATGAAATTGAGTATGATTATATTTCAGTGTTCGCATTGTTAAGGTCACCTCCATATTATAGGTGCATTCGTCAACAGATGTTCCTTTAGTACCTGTATATCTATACTAAGAGAAAGTGAATACCAATATCAGAGAAAGAAAATACCAGATCCAAAATTGTATTTGGGGCTTTTTCATCTAGAATTTCACATTACCTTTTTTATATTTCTTTTGTTTTTTGCATTTTCCTCAGTCGCCTCCTATGTTTTAAAACGTGAGCGCGAAACATTAATGAAGAGTCCTTGAATAAGGAAAAGTTTTAGTATGTTCTTTATGATTAGGCTCTACATAATCGAATTTTAAATTTGGTATTGAACTGTTCTATTCACTTGTGATCATCATCACAAGCTCCCATTCAAATGTGTTTAAGTGCGCAAAGGCCACTGGGTAAATACAGCTACTGTATACCCCATCTTAAATACAGGAACCGTTAATGACTGATCAAATCTGCCGCCGCCTCATAGAACTGTGTCTTTGCGTAAACCAATGTACAGTTGTCTACTTTTACAGTATTTCCAAGAGACGGTCATGGAGACAAACGTTTCCAGATATCTGGATCTTATTACATGTCTACCGGCTCTAAACTGTCTCAACTTATATATCTAATAGCTTTCATATGAAAACATTCTTAGGAACACAGCGAATTATATTAACAAAACATCTAACATAGTGACACACATATCGAAAAGTATATCTGCGGTTTACAATCAATCTTGTATAGCATAAAGAAGCTGCATTAATATTTGCGGTAGTCTTCACAGAATTTATTTGCCAAACGTGATAAAGAAAATATTTTAAAAGTAAAAGAACGCATACTTACCCAAACCGTTTCCTACCTGAAAAATAGAATGTGAAACATGAGTATGTTATATTCTTTACTTTATTGCGATAAAAATATGTCTTTGTTGTATTTGCTTTAATCATTCAATCTACATTATGATACTTTATGCCCGCCTTAAATCAGTAATCAGTCCTTGACATTCATTTCATCAATCAACTCTACACACTAATGTCTTGATACCTATGAAACTTCAAATCAGGCAATAAACCAAAACAGATATTTTATTATGTAGAGTACAAATTTGGGGTATGCATGTTGATGATTAGCTTTCTTATGGCTCCGTATTTTTTTTTTTTTTTTTTTTTATTTTTTCCTCAGAAGTACATATTGATTCATATTTATCTAAGTACTTCAGTTATTAAAGAGGTAAACAATTGTTTTCACCTCCATAGGGTTTTTAAAATAATCTCGTTACCATTATTTATATTTTTATATATTTGATAAAGCTGCTCAAATGCAAATCAGTTGTTTCTGATTTGAAGACTTGAAGAACTCCTTACATAATGGATTTACTAATTCAATTTGAAGATCATGCTATCAGAAAACATCTGGGTCCTTTATTCTGTAGGTCGGTGTATCTTGTCTCGATTCTTCTATCAATTGTAGCAATAGATCAGTGACCCCATTATCAGGGACATCTAAGTAGGGGGCTTTTATACAGCAGGACACAGACAGTATTGACCCCCTGTCAGGGCTACCTTGGGAAGGAGCTGATAGGGACGTATAGGACACACTATAGGGCAAATTTAAAGGCTACCTGACGTATAAATAAAACAACATTACGATAGCAGTTTTCTTAACATAAGAACTATGACTACCACAGGCCTTGCCTAGATATAATACCTATGTACATCTAACATGATATACAGGTATAAAGATATAAAGGTCGATTATGACGACCAACACTAGAGTAAATATATTAAGCATAATAGTTACTGACCACCTTTCTGTCAAGCAATCTTTATCACAATTCTGGTGTTTTACTTAGTACGTTTGCAACCTTTTCCAGCTTTAAAAAATTGATTTACTTGTTTATATTCACGAAATTTTCTTTTGTTTTTAATATATAAAATATATAAACATTGTTACATATAGGTTGGCAACAATATAAGGAACCCTTTCTTTAAAAAAAAAATACACGTGCATTACGGAATATTTCGGGACAATAGGAATCCGATTTCCATTCTCAACATTGTTGTAATTAAAGTTAACAGATTGAATGTTAAATATGGTATATATACCGTTTGATATAACTGATATTTCATGTTCTTTCACTTTTGTGTAATAAGAATGTATTCGATGAATACAACATGGCATGCGTGTTTTTGTTGGTAATGTCATCGATCACAGATGTTTATTGTTGCTACGATACTACAATTAGAGGACATCGGAATAGCACAAGCATAGATAAATTTTCAAGCTGTGCTCACTACTCGGGACAGGTTATGTCTATCATGCAGTCGATATCATGGAATGGAACATGAAATGCTATCGTAATGTCAAACCTAAGTCTGACACCTGGATAATAAGCGATTGTCATCTCTCATGACTATCAGAGAGGTAGCCAACGCAAAACAAAATCAAGGAAACATCGCCTCAAAGTGAGTCCGACTCTTCAAGAGGTTATAACAAATTAACTAAACCGAGAACCTAGATTCTGGTATAGGGGTAGTTATGGGTTTTATTATCGTATATGAAATGTTGGCAAAATGTGAATTTAAAAGATTAAGAGAGTAATTAAGGGGGGGGGGGGTAAATATCGAATCAGGTGGCAGCATATCTCTTTAAAATTAAGATTTGTCAAAGTTTGTAAATATAACGAGGGTATGACGGGGATGATTATCAAATGAGATTAAAAAATGCATATCGCAGCATGTAGCCGTAGGAGGTTAATATTAGGCAATGCAATATATGGGTAAAGATTTTAGGTACGTATTTTCTTGTTTAATGTACCAGTCAAATGTAAATGAATGCGTCCATTATAGACAGGATTACGTAATCTGTGAGGGAGACGCCTCAGTTCTTGCTGATAGCCCTACTTCTATCATTATGTATATTTAATGACGGATAAATGTTCAGTGTCGAAATGGGCAAAGGGAATGCATGGGTGGTATTTACATCCTAATAGATCAGTGAAATAAATTATAAGCATACAGGCATGTCAAATACTGCAATACGAAGCAGCATATCATTTCTCCACATGTCATTCAATACAATATCATCCCAGATTACTGAAATATACAAATATGATATTGCACTGTATAACTTATGTTACCCATTGAAACTAAATACGGAAATGTGATACCAAGAGAATGAGATCCCTTATAAAATGGCAGATTATCGGTAGTGGTGGTCTAGAATTGAACAATACATCAAAGAGAAAAATACGATAAAAAAAAGTGCATCAGGTCTATTTTCAATTTATGTCCTAGACACAGACTGACCGCAAGACCCGAGGTTTTTGTAATGGGTTCTCTAGACACATATCATTACTAGTTCAGATTAGATCGAAGGATTGGCAGAGATATGCAAGAGATAAAACTGTACTATTAAGTACAATGATGAATTTTGCTTTTAAATTACACAGGAAATAACAGATTTTTTTTTGTTTTTTTGCAAGTTAAACAAAGAGTGCGCTTCCAAATAATTTCGCCGTATTCAGAATAAATTGTTAAGTATTAATAGAAATCATCAATTTTGTTCGTCTATTCTGTTTGGAAGTTTTTATCTATATTCATAAACAAACTTAAATACAAATGTTCTTGTATGCAAATGAGATATGTTTTCCAGAAATTTAAAAACTTTATACCATATATATAGACAATACATGGTCAGTGTACATGTATGTATTACTATTTATCCTGCAAAATTAATTGAAAGTCGGATTATTGACAAAACAGATTTGTTTTGTACGTAACCTGAGGTTTAGTCCGAGGTGAGTGGTTCCACTTTCCTTACTTGTGAAGGTTGTATTTCTCTGTGTTAACGTATCTATGTCTTCGGACAAGACTCTTAACCGTAATTGCTCTAGATGACATGCAATTACGGATCTCCCGTATGTTATTCAGTGAGGTGGCCACCAGTTATTTCAAGGAGACATGAAATGACACTGTTTGTTCATGGGCGATACACCAATCAAAACATTCGTATGTTAATCTACAGAAAATGACTTCCAACAAAGAAAGTTTTTAGTGGAAATTCATATCGTGGTCATTACTATAACGACCTTATTTTAAAGTTTACCGGTGGGTATCTACAAAAAAAGAACTATAAATTTTGTTGAAATAATCTGGCGTCGGCAAAGATTAAACAATTTCTTTTATCAGCTTTGATGAGAATATGCATTTATTTCCACGCTGGTATTAACGATAAACCTATTAACAAACTAGTCCAAAAGCATGAATTTATAAAAGCTAATTTGCCTACAAAGGTACCCTGACGCTTGGTGTGAGTTATTGATTTAAAGACTGGTCATCAATATATTTGAATCAGTGATATATAGGAACAGTGGATATATATACCTAAGCTCTGTCGGTTTAGTAACTCTGGCCAATACCTATTTCATGGTCAGCATTGTAAAACCAAATCCTGAAGGATGACAACAAGAGTAATAAAACTGATCATCATTTTAAATGTCTTCATCAAGGTGGCTTCAAAGTTTCATCTAGCAGTGACACTATTGCATCAACTACAGAACATTAGTTTTTTTGTAACTATCATAAAGTTTTCAGACATTTTAAAGTGAATGATCAGTGTGTAAAGTGTTTTTACCTCACTGATCGATTTCGAAATCCTACAGCTATCACTAGTAATATATTATCTAATCGAAAATTGAGATACGTTTAAGTCAAGCATTGCTAGATTGAACTATTTTCCTCAAATCAGTGATAAAATGCCTTCGATTTCAAATCATTTCATTGTCAACACAATCTTACCATATATACATGAATAAATAGATCTGTAATTCTGAAATGAACACTTTTGAAAAGCATTTTTTTCAGACGTTAAGACAAGTAAAACATGAGCTGATGCAGCTTGACAAAACATGTTCGCAAAGTCACATACAGGAAACAGTGCAGACAAAACCTTTCTGTGTAGAAAGGTTAAAATAAAAGCCCTCGTCAACAACCACGTACAAATGTCAACACAGAATCCCTGCTATGTACAGTCTGTAACGTAACACAGTAAAATATGCTGCAGCACCAATAATACTGTTCTCACGGTTAAATAAACAATCGACTCTGAACTTGAATGTCAGGTAAAATTCTGATTGAGCTCGTGTCATGATGGGCTATGTCCCATTCCTAGTGTTATGCCATCTGTCAAAACGAAATATTGTGAATAATTATTTTTATGTCCATAACTATTGCATCAAAAGAGGAATGGCTTTCATATTTCGCATGTGTGGTCCTTGTGACCTGTTTTGACATTTTTGACTATGTGATATTAATTTTCTTGCAATCGGGGACAAAGTGTTCCATAAACAAATCTTGTTGAATTAAGAATAAATGTTATCGAATATTCCGTCGATGCGTTCTCTCATAACGAAACAGGCAATGTTTTCAGTGTAAGTGTAAAATCCAGTAAGTTTTCAAGTTAAGAAAGTTATATAACAGGTTTTACTTACACAGGTAACAGTGAACAAAAAGCAATAGACGTTAAACCCACGATCAGTCTCCTGTCATTTAAACTTATACACTAAAACCTTACTTAACTGACATTACTCTGTTTGGTTGGATATGACAGTGTGTGAAGGTAATTTGGATATTTAGTCCTTGAATCAATTAATCAAATGTCACTCAATCCTACTAAAAGTAACCACAATGGCCGACACGTGTACGTAATTCCACACATAAAAATACCTGTCAAAAGTTGACCGAGTCTGCTTAGGCTTTCATGCAATATATTGTCGGTAATAGACAGTTACTTTTCACCTAAATATCTGTCAATTCCTCAAATCAATGCAAAATTACTGAGCTCTTCAAGAGCAAATGT